TCTATCTATATGGCGCTGGCTAAGATAAGATAACTTTAACAAGATGCCTGTGTGCTTAGTACCAGGTTGTTATTATACCAGCAATGGGTCTTGCTCGTTCTTTTGCTTCCCGTCTGATGAAAGGACCAGGAGTGGCTTGATCAAGTTAGCTACCTAGCTAGTAGCTAGCACGTTAGTTAGCATTACAGCCTTGTCATTTTTATTAGCCTTAACATGAAGTAACATTAAGTAACCCAAAATGTTAAACAGTAAGAGTAGTAGTCATATTTCGTGAACCCTTTGAATAGTACTGTCACCGGTGTGATCATTCTATAATACACCATTTAAGCCCGGGGGAAAATGCTAACGCTAACGTTAGCATCGGCGATCTTCTCTACTTCATGCTATCTGCACAAATGGTTGACATTAAACATTAAAACGACCAGGCAGTTCAGAGAGAATCAAAGGAAGACAGGCAGGCAGCTTTGCATGACATTCTTCAGGACGTGTTTCATTGTGGTGATAGTCAATCGTTTTGTTGACAAGACAGTAGTGACGGCCATCTTGGTGACGTGTGTTGTTGACCAGAGATGTAGTTCATTGAGCGTTTCACACAAACAAATGTGTTACTTCACAGTTTTACGACACATTTTTTTTTTTTGACTTGCAAAATTATCTTTTAAATTGACAAACATCATATGTGTAATTCGTGGCACAATTCAAACGGGATCGAAAGATAATCTTTCTCTCTCCATTGACTTCAATACATAATTTTTCCGAAATAAGGTCCCATGGAGGTCCACCGGAAGGGGAGGGAGTTCGCCACTGAATACTCTGAAGATATCATTATCTTGTTCACATTACAATGTATGTATGCTCAGCTTTTGTGTGAACATGAAGACCAATTGATGGCTCTGTTCACGACTATTACAGATTCAACCATGCTTTTATATAAGAAAACGTTTACAATTTGCCTTTCATCACTTGTCAATCACCTGACATATTAATCAATTGTTTAATGGTAAGTTCCATCTTTTACCTGAAAATGTAGAAGTTGTGATCTTTTCATCTTTATCATAAGCCAGAAACAATATCCCCTTTTATATATTCAACAGGGTTAAATAAATAGTTCAGGCATTTTATGTATTACACTTAATTTATTTTGTTGTTGACAATGTGTTAATCTGTATGTTGCATTTGAAGCTGGAGCCAGTAATAATTCAGCATTAAGGCAAGAACCACAGGAAACAGCTAGCCTGGCTCTGTCTTATGTAAAATAACTCACCTACCAAAATCCCCCATGAAACAACACTTTTGTATTTTTCACTTATGTTATTGTAATGAGAGAACCTAATATAACATGTTTACCAGTGAGCGTAAGAGGTAATGGTAGGCAGATGTTGTTACGTAAAGTATGGACACAACCAGGTTATTATGCTTAGCTAACTGGCTGCTGAATGTAGCTTAATTCATATAATGATAGGAGTGATTTCAGATAACATTCAGTAGAAAAGTCAAATTTTAGTTTAGTTTAAAGGTCCCCTATTATACTGTTATACTTTCATGACTTTATTTAAGGTCTCAGATATATACAAAACATGTCTCTGAAGTGTTTGCCTCGAAATACCAAACAGATCGTGCATTGTAGCATCCCATAATCCCCTCTGTTTCAGCCCTGTTTCAAAAGTGCTGATTCTGTGTCTGTTACTTTAGATGAAAATAAGGAGCCACTCCCCACGCCCCTCTGAGAGATATTTGGTTAAAAAGAACACAATGGTGCTCTAGGAGGAGATTCAGGTGATAAGGGGGGGTGTTACCTTGGTCGGTTATTGGCTAATGGTTACACAAGCCAACAAATCGTTATGACATCATAAAGTGTCCAAAATCTGATCAGCTCATTTTCAGACAGGTTTTTATATAAATGGATCAGGACAAAAAGTGAGTAAATCTTTTTTAATGAAACTTTCAGAATCTCTTTACACAGAGGGGACACATGTGTATAAAAGACAGGAAAAAGTGGATTTTGCATAATAGGTGACCTTTAAAACAAACATTTTAGGCCTAGACATTTGGAATTTGACGGGTGGTTTTAATAGGTATACTCAAACTTGTGTGATTGTGCGGTGGTGCTCTGTCAGACAAGAAAATTGCATTTTGATTGTGCCTTTAACATGCTCCACTTTGCCCTCTAACTGTGGGCCCAAGCCTTAATGGCGGCCTCCGCGGGGGGGGTCACGGCCAAAAGCGTAGATGGCACAACTCTCCTGACAGCCCACACATTAATGAGTCAGGTTTAAATGGCTTGGTGGGCTGGACTGTGTCAAAAAGCCGTTGAGGCAAATGTTGCCCTAACTTTGAAAAGAAGCTTCCCTCCCTTCTGCTCAGTTCTACCCTACTGTGGGATTTCAGAGCCGGGATGGAGAGACTGCATCTGATGTTCAAGGTCTGGACTCTGAGAGAGGCACACAGACAAATGGCTGAGATAAGAGCGGAGCTGATCAGATCTCAGTACAGCAAACAGGGAGAGCTTCCCCTGTGAGGAGGGATGGAAGCAGCTCCAAACTGGGCTGCAGCCAGCCTCTCCACAGTGGACTCCATGAATAAATGAATGAATGCAGTGCCTATGGGGCGTCTGTGACACCAAGGTCGCAGACTGTTATTGTTGTTGTTGGAGGGCTTTCCTCATGAAATTTAGATTCCTCACAAAAGATCATTATAATAGCTTATGTTCATATTTTCTGTCTTGTCAGTGACTCAATTTATTAACTTAAGTGAACGTTTATTGGCCTTGATAACTTTGTGGCGGTTTTATATAATATCAAGTGATATATGGTGCTCTCACTATCATTTTTGTGTTTTAGTAGTGTTTATCTTTTTTTAATGTTTTTTCTTTAACAGGATGAGTGAGGGTAAAATGACATTACATTTAAGACTTCATGACACCAAGAAATCAACTGGCAACAAAACCTGACCCAAATGAGATAGTACCAAATAAGACTTCATCCCCACTCATTTTTTCAAAACAAACAAACACTGACCAAACCTCCCCTGCTCCCTCCCACATGCCTCCCTTCCCAAACCAACACAAACACAAACACACACTCACACACTCACACGACAAACTCGCTTGAGATGTTTAAAGTGTTCCCCAATATGTCCAGTTTTAGTAGTGTTTATCAACTGTAGTTTCAACTTCATGATCATTTTGGAGGATTTTGGTGCTGTTAATTTGTACTGTGCTATAATGAGTATTTTAGTTATTTAATTTAATATTAGAAATAAAACATCCAAGTATGAATAGGGCTGTAGCAAGGACTGATTATTTTAATTATCAAGTAATACGTTAAATATTCATTTATATAATTTTTGTTCTTAGATGTCAGAAAATCATGAAAATTGTCCTGCACAGTTTCCAAAGAGCTACAGTTGACATCTTCAAATTGCTTAGTTGCAAATTGCTTTGTTCAATCAACTGCAGACTATATCATTAAATTACGTTATTATAAACTAAGAGAACATTGGGCCCGTTTGCTTGATAAATGTCTTCAAAATAAGGCAAGTCTTTTTAGACCTACATAAAAAACAGAACAGCATCACAAAAACGACTGTGTGTTGCAGGACTGTATTAGACTGAATGACTCTTAAGCTACAGGTGTAACTCATACACTGAGAACATACTTATTATATTCATAAGCAACCACAACAAGTAAGGACCAGACAATTATAGATTACTGTTATAATACTTAAGAACAGTGTTAAAGAATATCTACAAAAGGATAACTACACAACATTAACTTCTTGTGTGACTAAAATACTTAGCCAAGGCACATTTTTCATATCTGGGACTATATATTAAACGTCAAAACATTTTGATGGAGGATAAATAACCATTTGCTTGAAGAACCGATCACTTACATGCATGTCCTTGAATGAAAATGCCCTTATTCTTTGCCCATTGATTTCTAACAAAGTGAATTAAGTGAATGGCAGCTCTGTGAACCACTTTTGACTCTCTGGGAGAATACATTTCACCAGAAGAGGGAGACAACAAGTCCCAGGAAGAGATGCAGCTGTGTTCTTCATTTTGCTTCTGCAGAAGAACAATTGAGTCCATTGCTAATATTATCAAACATTATAAACTTCACAAACCCCAGTGTTACTCATTTCAGATGCTGCTCTTTCACGTTCAATTAATGCAAATACTGCATTGGTCATTTCTCCATGTTTGATTTCCAAATATTTCCATGGCACCTGTTACATGAGTGGAACAGATCTGAGCCATTTCTCAGATTTGGCCTTGACAGTTGGACAAGGAGGAATTTTCTTCCTGGCATTTTTTCCCATCACCTGGACTCTGACTCATCCCGCGCCATGCATATAGGAGATACATAAACAACCTTTGTCTTACATATTATTTAACCTACAAGGATTAAATAAGTAATTTCATTTCATTTGAATAAATCAATAATTCGTCTGAGAGGCGACGTGAAGACAGGCTTTGATCTCCCTCAAATAAGCCTCTCACCTTTTTCAAAGAGCACATCTCAGTTATTAATTATTCTTACTATTCTTAGAGTTAATGATTCCTTTATGCTGCCACTCACGCTTCCTTTTTCATAGCACTTAAAACAAAGATGACATTTTAAATACAGAAAAGGAATATTGAAAGCGTATGACTGCGAGCAGTGGAGAGGGAGAAAGTCTCATCTGTCAGCGAGCAGACAGAAAACATTCATTTTGTTTCTGAGTGTTGAGAGATGATAGCTTTGGATTCCAAATGACGGGGATTGACATGATATGAGACTTTCAACAATCTGCAATAATGACCTTTTCACCGAACCTACAAACTGTCAGGTAATAAAATGTCTCAGGTGCAAATGGCCAATCTTTTGGCACGGGTAAAAAGGGTAACCAAGCAACACCCGGTGTCCTATCAATAGTTAAGCTTGGAGGTATCTCTGGAGATGCTCCCCCCCTACAAAGACCTGGTTCAGCCTGCTTCAACAGGCCCCGTGACCCCCCCTGGACGAACAACAGCCTCATTCTCTGCTCCACTGCTGACCTCATTGTCTCTTTGTGAAGGGAAAATCCAGAGTTGCATTCTGTTAAATGGTGCATCCACTGCGAGAGGGACACAGCTCTCTACCTCCAGCTCAGGCCTGCAGATGAGCACGGACACCGCTGCCTTTTCCTCAGGACTGTACGACGGGAAAACATGGTAAGAAAGGGAGACTAAATATTCACTACATTTAGACATCTGTCTAATGTATGCAATCCTGACACCTCTTTACTTTCACCATCACAATGTACAGTAACAGCTGATGATACACATGTAGCGTTAACTTCAAACTTGTAACACACATGTTCCTGTCACTGGTTTATTTTTAAATGATTCATGTTCATCCTACAATGACACACCTGCATGGAATGTGTCAAGTGTTCTTTTGCATTATAAGCAACTGATGCTAATTCCAAATGTAAAATGATATGTTTAGCTACACCCTAGAGCTAATACAAGAGAGCAGATGGTGTGGCTTTTATTTAGGAGGATTGTGTACTGTAACATGATAATACCAAGTCTGCATCTCACGTCGATGAAGAGCTTTTTTATAATTACTGTAATATTCTCAATATGTTGCTTTTAGAAACAGCTGCTCGTTGAGGAGTAATCCCAACCAAAACACTCTCACTCCAGAGAGAAACAACTTTTTTTGATAACAAGTATTGTGTAGCATGTGTTGTACAAGACCCAAAACAGACACCCCAAGACTTTAGCATGCTCATTTCTATCATGCATGTTGAGGAGATATAGTGAACACACCTGTAGCTCTGACTCCATACATCCGGAGTGCGCAGTTTACTTAACTCCTAATTAAATCTGACAGAGTCAAGTGCACTGTGTCTGAGGAGCAGATGTTCAGCGGGTAGTTTATTTTGCAAGTAAGCATATTTCAAGGTTCAAGGTGCAAAAAACTTTAACAAAACAAGCTGTTATCAGGTCTGACTGGCTAACTTGACTTATTTTAGAGTTTTGATGGAGACACATTATCAGTGATTGAGAACCCGGCAGCTGTCAGCCATCCCTTCCATTCAGAGAAAGCTGCAGGAGTGACGGAGCCCAAGGGAGTGCAGGGCTGGTTGAAAGGGATTCACCCGACGACTCACGGTAAGCTCCAGTGGTGCACCCCCCGATGGGCGACAGTCTACAACAGCAGTCGTGCATCACCAGTACAAAAACAAAAGACTTTGCACTGAATACAATCCTTTACACTTCATTGATAAGAAATAAAGCTTTTGGATCGAAATGTCACAGTATAGATTTGCTTTTCAACTCTTAAGTGTTGTGCAGTATAGAGAATATAGCTTATCAATAATCTAGTCCTGTTTGTTAATGTTCTATATACTGAATGTAACCGTTGACATTTAGTTATTTCTCTCAGGTTTAGCAGGCATTATGAAAGGTCTTAATTGTTTCTTTACAGCTCAGAGGCTAGTGAGGCTGCTGGCGGCAGTGTGTGCTGTCGGACTCTTGGGAGGCTTGGCTGTAGGTGTCTGGTTTCTTGGTGAGTCATTGTGCTGAGATAGAATCAGTAAATTAGCTTAACTGTAACCAGGAAAAAAGTACAACATGTCTTGTAACAGCTACTCAAGCTTCAGAGCTTGGCAGATTTTTAAGGGTGTTTATTATCAGCATTTGACAGGACTGAAAATGTGTATATGAAGGTGCAACTAAAATGATCTTAAAAGATTGTAGTTGAAGGCTACAACCTTCTCTTATTTGAGAGGCTTTTAAAACTAGCAAATGTTTTTTCTAATGAACAGAACTCCTATTTGTGAAAGTATTTCATTACATCATTTACTTCAGGGTAAAATGTGCTGCTGTACCACACAGGGTTTGTCTGTTCTGAGGTTCTAATTCAGAACATCTGTTAACATTTAGTCGAAACAATACACTTCATTTTTGCTCTGTCAGTGGCTTATTAAAAGTCTGATTACCTACATCTTCATCTAGTCAAACTTCTGCTGAAGCCTTCCTACTCCCAAAGTCCAGTGGGACTTGGGGACACAAAGGAGACGTCTTTCTGCAACGTAACAGAAGATATTTCTATCTCTGACCCCAGGAAAGGTCTGTGTTTCCTCCCCTTTTCATCCATGAATTAAATACTGCAGAATGTGTGCTGGCTGATGCTTTGATTTTTTGTTTAATAGCTGTGAAATGATCAATCAATAACGTCATCTTGTTGTTCACTCTTGAGACAGGCCCATTGACTGACATGAAAACATCACTCATAACAATCTCCTTGACTGTATTAGCATAGATACTTGTGTTTTTCCTAATCATTCCCCACTTATAAAAGAGGCTCGTTCATTACTGTTGCCTGAGAGCTTGTCTCTGGAGGGATTTTCAATCAATCAGGTTCAGTGTTTTACAGAATCAGCCCGGAGAACTCCCTGCTGGAGATCCAGCTGGGGAAGCTGCCCACCTGGCTGCCAGTGTGCTACGAGAGGTGGAACTCTTCACTGGGAACGCTGGTCTGCAGACAGCTCGGCTATTTGAGGTTTTTCACTTTGGACATAATCGTACACCCTTAACACTGATTGGGACTGCAGCTCCCACTCATTAATTTATAGTTTTAATCTAAGCCAGCTATGCCAAGGTTGAAGTCCCAGCTTATTTATGATTTTCCAATACCTCATTTGCAAATTTGCCTCAATGAGTCTAAATGATCTGAACACTCATTCCCACCATTTTTGCATATGTTCTCTTACCAGACTGACCAAGCATAAAGGAGTGAATCTAACTGATATCGGGCCAAACTTTACTGATGGCTTTATACAAATTACCTCGGAGCACAAGAGCAATCTGGAAAATATGTGGGAATTCAGGTAAGGCAATTTGTCTGAGGACATCATACTGGTAATGAAGCAGAAAGCTACTGCATAATAATTATGCATCATTAGTTACACAATTTATTTTCATTTAGGGGGAACTGCATCACAGGGAAGGTTATCGCTTTGCAATGTTTCGGTGAGCAAATGAACCTAACTTTTTGTGTGTGATTTTAAATCCAACACCCTGAAGTTCCATTATAACAATAAAGCTTGTGAATGCTGTCATTTGCTGTTGTGCTTTCTGACCAATCCAACTCCTTGATGAATGGATCTCTGTTTAGAGTGTGGGACAAGAGCGAAACTGCCCAGGATAATCGGGGGGGTCGAGGCCACGCTGGGCAGGTGGCCCTGGCAGGTCAGCCTCTACTACAGCAACCGTCACACCTGCGGAGGCTCCATCATCACCAGTCAATGGGTAGTCACAGCTGCCCATTGTGTGCACAAGTAAGACAGCTGACCTTACAGCACTTAAAGGGCCGGGGCTACGGACTAGAAGGAGAATAATCAGTCATTAACAGCTGCGCCTCACTGGACACATGACGGTTCTTATCAGTGTCTTCTTCCTTGTTTCTTTTCTCAAATGTCAGCTACAGGCTACCTCAGGTGTCCAGTTGGGTGGTCTACGCTGGTATTGTCACCCGCAGCTCTGCGAAAATGGCTCAGCACACAGGATATGCGGTGGAGAAGATCATTTACAACAAGAACTATAACCACAGGAGCCACGACAGTGATATAGCACTTATGAAACTGCGGACACCTTTAAATTTCTCAGGTCAGTCTGTGAGGCTCTTTGAAACCTTTGAACACAAAAGAGATAGCGGTGCTTCAAACACACAACAAAATGTCAATGCTTCGACCTCAGTTTACTGTTGATTTTCTTATCCTGACAAATTTCAGGAAACAAGCCTCTGTTGAACCATAAAAGGGTATCAATTATCTCGAAATTATTAGATCTACTCCTTCCTCATTTAAAAATCCCGAATCAATGAATGTGCAAATATTTGTACTTTCCAAAGTTTAACCACTTGACAAAATGTCTACTACTTCACTGAGAATCTATTTACAGTTTAAGTGTACTGGAGGCCTGAAGTTTTAACACCACATTCCTGTAAATTGCATATTGGACAACGATCGGCTTCCATTTTATGAAATCTTTCCTGTCTGTACAAGTTTTAAATTGAGATTTAAGGTGAGCACAGAGAGACTTTCCCCATGGAGTGGATACAACAGCCTTCGAGTGTCAAACTCTGCACATTCATCATTCTGCATAACCAAGGGAAGCGACAACATGAGAAAAATAGTATTTCAAGTTGAGGAAGACTTATGGGACCTATTTAACAATGGCTTGTGTACCCAAACATATTTGCAGTAAAGGGAAACTTGAGGGAGCCTATTACAAGACAAAACCCCAACAGGGGGAAATAAATCCAGTCTAGGTCTCTCAAACAGTGTTGAATAAAAAGCCATTACAACTACAAAACATATCTGAATAAAAGAAAATCATAAACCAAGTTATCATGTTCCAGCCTGTCAGAATAATTATGTAAATTATTCTGACACCAGATACAATTAGGCCCATCTGCTTGCCTCAGTACGACTATGATCTTCCAGGAGGAACACAGTGCTGGATCTCTGGATGGGGATACACACAGCCTGACGGTGGTGAGGCACTACTGCTCTAAAAATAATTTACATCTACTGCAAGTCTAATTCACACATGATGACAGAGTGTGCCAGGTGTATTGACAGAGCAGCATTAAACCTGTGTCTTCTCGCTCAGTTCACTCACCTGACACCCTGAAAGAGGCGCCTGTTCCCATAATAAGCACAAAGAACTGCAACAGCTCCTGCATGTACAATGGAGAGATCACACCACGGATGCTTTGTGCAGGATACACAGAGGGAAAAGTGGATGCATGCCAGGTCAGAGTTATGTTTTGAACACTGGCTTGCAGAGGCGTTTTAAAGATTCATCCTCTTTTATGTGACTTGTTTACGGTAAAACCCTGGCATGATGAAAGCTGGGTGAGTTTAGTGTTTGTGTCTACCTCTCCAGGGGGACAGTGGGGGTCCTCTGGTTTGCCAGGATGAAAATGTATGGAGGCTGGTAGGGGTCGTCAGCTGGGGGACAGGCTGTGCTGAGCCCAACCATCCAGGGGTTTACACCAACGTTGCTGAATTCTTGGGCTGGATCTACGACATGATTGAGGTAAACAGACTTTTTAGATGTGCGAATAATCTGCAAATTATTTCCCCAACAAATGAATTAGTCTAGAAGTGTCCTAGTGTCTAAGGTGACATTGTCAACATGCTTCTCTTTTTTTTTTTACCAACAAAGATGCCTATTTAACTATCATATAAGACAAAAGAAAAATAAGAGAATCATTTCATTTAGGAAGCTGGAACTGGCAAATGTTCAACATTATTATTAGGTAAGGTAATACATTAAGAAACTAATTGTTGAATAATAATATATTGCTTTTGTTTATCAACTAATTGGTTAATCAACTAATCGTTGCAGCTCAGTAGTAGCAGTAGGCCCACATCAGATATATAAATAATCACCTTTGTGTTCATTTTACTGCCACGTAAGTACTTTTAATGTTGATACTGCATTGCTGAGGACGCTTCTATTACTAATTGTACTTAATGCTGGATTTTTACTTGAATTGGAGTTTTCAAAATGCTATTTTTGCTTAATAGATGAGGATATTTGTTAGTATACTCCACTCAAGTCATATCAGTCAATAATCAATTGTATACACTGCCAGCATTGAGATATTGTAGTATCGGCATCTAGAAAATAACAGTAAACTGTAGAAGTACAGTTAATAAACCGCTTGCTTATAATGACTCTTTGTTTTTGCAGACTTACTGAGGGCTGAGGGAGGGTCAGAAAGAAGAAGCAAAGGATGCTGTTGATGTTTGAGACATTTGAAAAACAGAGTTGATATTTTTACTTTAAATGTCCGTTGTATTATGTACACATTAAGACAATCAAAAGACATTATGCATATTTACGTAAATGTTTGTATGTATTGAATATAAATTATGTGTCTTATTAAACTGTGTCCTTTGTGATTACTGAGCTGCAACTCTGCCTCTGACCACCAGGCGGCTTCTGAGTAACCAGTTTCCATAGCAACTAACAACATTAGCTAAGACACGTTAGCTGTTTCACAGACTTGAACTAACCAAAGTGTGTTTTATTTATCTTTGTTTCACATTTGGAGCCTAATTCAATAGCACAACTAATTTATTATACTGTAAACAAGCTGTTTGTTCTAAATTCAACTATTTAACACTCACTAGCTACCTTTAGTGGCTTGCTAGCCTCAACATTAGTGTTTGCTGACTCCAAGTCACCTCAAGATGTCTGGCAGCACAGGGGATGTTTTACAGCAAGTCAACCAGTTCTGGTCCATCCTGGATGATCTTTCTCAAAATGACCCCGCAGCATACCGCCAGTTGATAGAGAAGCAGATGAAAGAAGGAGCTGGATTCAGTGCACCGCCTGAGCTAGACTCCTGTATTCGCACTGAAATGTTGGTAAGTTACGTCGTTTGCATTAGCTTAAAAATGAACGGTCACTAGATAAGTTTAACAACCAATCCTGCTATATTAAATTCTCTGTGACGACAAACAGTGCGTCACAGCAGGGAAACACAGGTGTTTCTCATTAATAATAGACCCGTGCCAACCAGGTAAGTGAGCTATATTACAGGTGTGGAACCAAATTAAATGACCCAAATAAAAAGCCACAGCTGACGCTTTAAACATGAATGTATTCCTTTCTTTCCAAAAAGCATCTGTGCCTTTCAACTTTTTATTAAGGAAAACGATACGTTTTGTTTCTCCTTGATTATGACTTACTATTGCTGGCAACTTGTTACAATCAACATTTTAGCAGTAGGCCTACCCTATATGTGAAAAGGACACATAATATAATGGTCACAGAATTTGGTGTAATGCCTGGCATTGACAGAAAAGAATATTGCTTTTACTAAGTTACACTTTTTTTAGTAAGTGAATGTGTGTCCACTGGGACAATGCTCAATAAGGTCAATGTGTATCATCTACTGCACCTGTCTGTCTAAAATAGCTTAAACTATATAATCACACAATTACTAGATAAGATTAAACTTGAGTAATCTTCAAATAAACAAAATAGTGAAGGGGCCCATCACAAACTCCCATAGCATTTAAGCATCTCCAAATGGATTGTTCTGTTCAACCAACAGTATCACACCCAAAACTATTCAGTTTACTGTCACAACATTAATTATTTGCAATATTTTAGCTTAAAAAACGGGAATGGACTTTTCCCGTAAACATTGCTTCCACTCTACTTTCTATCCCTTAATACAGGGCCGGCCCTGACCAATTTGCTGCCCTAGGCAAGATTTTAGCTGCCCCCCCCCCCCCCCCAACTGCAGACACTCACTATGACTCGCGCATGTATGCACGTGCACAGTTGTGGCATGACCACCAAAACAGAAAGATATGGACACAAGTTGTGTGCAAATGTATTTAGTTTCCTATCCATGTGAACATGATTTAAGTGGGGGGTGGACCTAACATCCTCTAGGAGCATGCCCCCGGATTGAAGTTAAAAGCATCAATCTGGTGCACTTTGAGAGCAACATTGAGAGATATGGATACATCTCTCAACATCAATATGAAACAGAACTGTAAGCAGATTTTATTTTTCTTTAAGGATATTTTACAAATCACTCCCCTTTTAAACTGTATTCTTGTTTATTAATAACAACTTTTTTGTACTGTCATATAGTATTTTATACCTGTTTTTTATTTATTCTCTTATTTTTGTATAACTATAATGATCATATAAAGGTGTGCCTTTACCTCACTGAGCTGAGGTTATCAGAGCCTCTCAGTCTTTCAGGAGAGAGCTCAGCTCTCCCCCCCGCGGCCACACACAGTAAATTCCAATGTTAACAAAAGCACACAGAAGCTGTATACGTTTTTTGGGAGTTTGATTTATTTTAAATTAACACAAATACAAAATTAAAAACTATAATTGCACACTAAAACCATTATTTAAAAAAAAAGAACAATTTCACATAAACCTCTGGTTTTTACTGGAGCTGGGGCAGTTCAACTTGATTTTGGGGGGGGTGTGCCATAGTTTATGGGCGCTGTACACAATATAGGCGTAGTTCTGTTAGTATAAGATAATAAGATGTACTTTGTTGATCCAAAATCGGGAAATTGTGTTGTTATGAAATTTCCCAAAAAATATATTTTTATTTCGAACTTTCTTTTTTTTAAATGTTTGGCGCCCCCGATGGGTTGATGCGCCCTTAGCATTCGCCTATACTGCCTATGCCAAGGGCCGGCCCTGCCTTAATAGAAAAGCTGCCACCCCTGTGTGTGTTTTAGTTTAGAGATAGGGTGTGTATTGACAGGTGTTACATCTGTGTTCTCAACAGGAGCCAAAGAAAGGGTCACTGTACATCAACATATGCAGCTGGAAACGTGTGCCTGCACCTCAGGATCCCAGCAGGCCTTTACCTGTGTGTGCAGGAAAACTGGAAACAGACGAGAATGAAGGTCAGAGTAAAAGTCAAAGTTGTGCAGCATCACAATCTACCGAATCGAATTCGTTAGAAGAAAAAAACAATACATTGTAGTTTTTCTTTTTCCAGGTATCTGCACTGTGTTGGATGTGGCATTTAACCCTGCAGTGCTACAGGAAAGTAAGAAAGACAAAACAGAAGTCTACATGCTGACCCTGAGCTTTGCCCAGCAGCATCATGGGATGAGGTTATCTCAGGAGTACACTGTCGTCAGCTGTAGCCCAAAGAGTAACCCAGAAGACTTGCACCGCCGCCTTGGGTTTCGGCAGTGGCCTTACACCTCCAGTAAAACAGACACAGGTAGGGCAGAACGTTTTATACCCAATAAGCCGCTACAAGCCCTTTATGGTGGATCTATTTTTCTTTGCCGCTGCAGGTGTATTATCTTTCACCTTCTACCAAAGTTCCTAATAATCTATCGTGTTCTTTTTCACAGCCAGTCAGACCCCAGCTGCCCTCCTGCAGCAAATAACCGCTCTACGCTCAGAGAAACAACACCAGGACCCTGGAGCCCAAATTGACTTCAGACCTGCAGAGCAAATAAATATGGATTTGATCCAGGTCATCTCCACCACATTTGTGCAGCCTCAGAAGCCTGAGTACCAACTCGAGGTGAAGACAGATAGGGAAGGGGTTGCTCGCAGCATGGAGATCTTATTGGATCTGCCAAAGGTTTGCTCCATGTCCGAGTGTCAGCTGAGAATCTCCAAGGTAACCGGTTACACACTCCTTTGAACAGTTATGAACAACTTTAAAATCCAATGCGTGTCAGTGCGTAGTGGGATGTCATTAATATAATGTAAAAATACATAGCTGTTATCGTTCTGTGAGTAAAACTGAGCGGTGATTTTATTTATCTACAGGACGACGTCTTACTGGAGGTGGAGGATGTCTACTATTTGCTTCTAGAACTCCCCAAACCTGTTATTGAAGACACTGCATCGGCCATTTTCAATAAGAAGAATCGAACGCTAACTTTGAGAGTGGATGTTTTTTTATGACAATTTGACTAAATAGTGAAACTAATAATGAAGAAAAGAGGTGAGTAGTGCTGGAAATGGGCAGAAGAAACTGTGAAGCTATGCATTCTGACACTGAGATGACCTCAAACCAAATAACCAAAACAAACTGAATTCATGCTATGCAATCTGAAAAGCCTGAAAAGCCTCAAAACAATAGACAGCTCCCCTGTAAACTGATCTGTTCCAAATCCATCTGGCTTTGTGCAGGATACGATATACAAATAAAACCCCTCTCATATTTGTATTCATGATTTGTTTTTGTTTCGTTCTACCCGTGAATTTCTGGGATTCGCCAATTTGTCCTTATTTTGTACTTCTCTTAATATTTTTAGGAGGAATCAAAAATACTTTTTACTGAGATAGATAAAAGAATCTGGCTTTCACAGATACAAAAAAAAAAAGTATCTATAGTTCAATTTTACATTTTAGAAATATATTTAAAACACATGAATATCATATTATCAGATTAAGATGTGTTACAGCATGATAGTATTTGCATTATTCAATGTGTGTATTTAAATAACTCTATTGGTCCACTGATCCAATTTAAACCCATGGAGGATTTCAGCTTCAGAATGGCTTACTCTTAGATGCTAGATCATTTTCCTGTTACATCAGTGCAGAAAGAAATAGATATATTGTTCACAGTACTTCCATTTCAGTCCTGCTGAAAGGTTATGCTAATAACACATCAAATCTGCCACACGCTTTTATAAAAGAGTGAGATGAAAACAATAATTGCTGAATGAGACCCAATGTTTTACTGAAACAAATGTGTCACTTTGTCCCGTGCTGTGTGGGTTGATACACAGCAGCAAGCATAATTTTGAACCCCCACAAATTAATTGACTTTAATTACAATCTATTGCTTTTGTTTTTAATGTGTGGGTGTATAAGTGTAGGTGTATAATGGCTTTGAGCTGGAGTACAATATAATTACTCTAGGCACGTTCAATAATTGACAACAAAATTATCCATGCTGCAATAATTCATGTTTATTAAAACATCAAAATTGATGCAGAACATCAACATCACTATTTGGCAATCTGGAACGTGTGGAAAATGTCAGTAAACATTTTTATTTTAAGGTTTGCATATTATGCACGTTTACAGCTTTTAAGAGCACCGGTCCTGATGTGTTATTTGTAAATTCAAAAAAAGCAATCTTTGACCTGACCATACATTTTTAGTCTTACAAATTCATTTAGAAACTGCAAAAATGTATAATATTCATACCTTCAAAATAAAAAAAAGTGGTACTAAATGTCAAAGAACAGATTATTTATATGAAACATTCACATTTAAAACATGGTATCGTACTGGTGTTAAACCTATTGGTCCAAGTTAATTGTATTATTAGTATTCTCTATTATGGCATCACAAGTGCTCTCAGTGAGATCCTGGTCCAGTGGCAACAACTGAGGTTTGTAGTGGTGTTCTGTGGCTTTTGGCTCTACCTTTTCTCTCCGTGGTCCTCCTCCACCCACGCTACAATCTTCCCTTCCCAGCCCGGCACGACTGCTCCGTCCTGGAATACCTGAAGCGCCAACATCCAGCATTTACATATCTAAGAACCACTCACATCTACAACGAGCAAAGGTCTGGATTGAAAGTGAGAATGACTACTCAGTCCCCCTGCAGTGTTATTTGAAGTATAGCACAGCCACGGCTATTATTAGCATATCTTACTCTATAACTGCCATTTTATATTTGCCTGCTGACGTTGATGTGAAAAGAAGCAGAGGCTATAATTTTCCTCCCACGCCTACCTCCTCTTTCACGGTGCCAAACTCCGGGTCGAGGGCCTTGAAGTGATATCTGAAACTGCCTTGTCTGTCCACCGCGGCCTTGAAGTCTCGCAGTGTCACTTCACCCAGCCTGTGAAAGCGCACTGTCAGTCATGATCTATGCACATATACACCCACATGGACATTACGCTTGACAATCATTTACATTTTACAGCAAAGATTCTGAAGCATCTATATGTAGATCAAGTCATGCCTGGATTAAGCCATGTGTCCTCGGTGAACACAGCAATTTGCTTAAAATGCATGCATGCTACAGTGAGGGGAAAAAAACAACAACGTTACATAAACCTGTTATAAATTGTTTGTTTTTTGTCACCTTTTTGGGATGTTAATCAAAAATGGAGTGAGCGAGCGATCAGTGAAGTAGAGCACTTTAGTGGAGATGGCGGTGTCCAGTCCCGGGCTGCTGTGTGAGTGTGCCATTTCTGGAAATAATCACAAACACAACAAATGCTATTTTTCACAACCAGAGTCTGAAATGGCTCTCGCCTCACAGCCAATCATGCCCACTCCATACATAGCAGTGTAATTGCATGGCACAATTTGATTACAACAGAGTTGAGATGTTGCAGAGGATGACAAATCCCAAACAAACAACAAGGATTCTGTTTGTCTCACTTGAGCTCTGCGGCCAGGAATCCCGCTCTGTCGAGGTGGCTCTGCGTCCCGGGGACTTAAATTCCTCCTGGAAGAAGAGCCATGGTAAACATGATTTGTTATTGACTCACTCATTAGGTGACAGATGCGTTAAGATTTTCTCCGACATGGTGTCTGTGAGTAAGTACCCCTCGGTCCTGTCTGCGCTGGCTGTCCAGAGTGTGTACCCGGTCCATGAGGCTGCCCACCCCCTGCTCCAACGTGTCCAGCGTGTGGTGTTGGGGATCATGGCCAGAGAAACCGTCCCTCAGACTACGCAGGGCCTCTCTGACCAGCTGCAGCTCCTCCCCCTGTGACAAACAGCTTCTTTATGGTTAAACACTTTCTGCAAGGTTTTGATTTTCATATTAAGGCAACAAGTCTGGAAGACATTTACCACTGAGAAAAACATCAAAATGCATAACAAGTCTCATATTTTAATAATTAAAAGTTCAGAGACTGTGAAATGTATGACCTTTAGCTTTTCAATTTTGTTTTAGTATATTATAGTTGTGACCCTGTGTGTCAAAATATTGACTTATTACGTTATCATGTTAACCTTGTACCTAATTATTTTTGATAGGAATATCTTATCATTTAGACCAAGACAACGTTCTGACTTCATTTTTCTTATATTTTTTCTTTTTCTACTCGAAATGAGCTTTGATACAATAACCACCATGGACAGAAATAAACAGCAATTGATAGTATTAAAATAAAGACCGCTATAAAAAAGCATACGTACTGGGGAAGTGTGTTGGAATACTGCAGGAGATGTAGAAACCACGGAGTTACTGTAACCATCGCTTTCACTCCTGAATGACTGCAAAAATAAACAACAATACATGTAAATATGTAATTAAGGCTGGCGGATTTTCAAGGATGAAGCTGGTAATTTTTCATAATAAGGTTCAACAAATGCCATGATAAGATCAGTATCTTACCAGCGTAGCCAAAGCCTGATAAACCTTATTCCCCTGTGCTTTACCTTTGAATCCCCTATTGTTGTACACAATGCTATTTAAACACATCAATAAGCTTCTGTTGCAGTGAGTGACATGTTTCTTCATCACTTTAAATACTCACCAACATTCTGCAAATAGGACATTTTAAAAACATATTTCTCACCTCTTTGAAAAGATTTATATATTCAGTAAAAACCCACAGGCTCGGGGCTAAGTGCCAGAGGGTTGGATTGGAGAAATGATTGAGCATTACATTTTTTATTATGATAAATAATATCCATAAAATCCACATAGTTAAGCTTTTTGATTTATTTTTTTAACTTTTGTACTTAACCAGATTGAAATTAATATTTGAATTGATATATTATATTGTTAAAAATCAGATCTGGATCCCTACCCGTCCATGGCTGACTTCGTGTGCTTTATGTTGGGCATCATCAAGCTTCTGCTGCTGCTGCTGCAGTACTCTGTCTTTCCTACCGAGCTGCTGCTATGTGAAAAGAAAGATGGATGACATAAGTCTGCATATGAATGTATCCATCCAAAGAATGCATTGAAGTGTGAATAATAAAAGATGATACCTCATATTCACCAAGCAATTTGTTCCGGTCACTCAACTTGTGTTTGAGCTCCGCCTGCAAACAAAAATAAATTGGCTTGATATAGAGTGTTATGTTGCTCTCACATAAACCTGCCTCCACAGGTTAAGCAAGTCAAACATTTTATCGTGTCAAACGGAAATCATCACTTGTCTCACATTTTCCCCTTCCAGCTGATCTTTGGCCATGTTGCACCTCAGCAGCTCCTGCTTTAGCTGCAGCACAGCGTCCTCCTGCACTGCCAGGCGCTGCTGCAGAGCATCCTAATGAGAGAGGGAGATCAAAGAAACGTCCATAAGAGACCTGAATACAGATACACAGCATCCACCTGCCTCATCTACAGCATACCCTTCTCTAAACTTTATCGTCTTATAAAAAGTGAAGACTATATAAAAAAAAATTGTAATAGAAACTGCAAAATCCTCAGTGTAGGATAGCACAACAGTGGAATATATTTAATTATATTTTTTTATGAGATTTAACTTGCACACAGAGGTGAAAATAATGTAAGAGGTTTACCTTGATGGCCTGAAGGTGGCGTGCCTCCTGTTTGTTTCTCAAGAGTTCCCTCTGAGAGCCACACAAATGAACAATGGCATTAGAGAAAGGCATTCTTTTCTTGTATGGCAGCTCATCTATATTAAACCTAATTGCATTTACTCACTGTACCTTGAGATCAAGGCCTTCCTCCACACTTTGGTCCAGGCGACTGCGGATTAGAACCTTCAAAGGGAGAGGGTATGAGAGCGTAATTAGAGAAAGGAAAAATGTCAAAACCTATGAGGAGGCAGTGGGCCTGCACGACAGAGGGCTAGCAGATCAGAGAGATTCAATTGTGCTCTACAGTCTCCACTCTGGAGAGGAGTGATGGTTGCAAACATCATCACAACAGAAGGGCTGACACTGACACTTCACACAGAGAGAGAGGCGAGCAAGTGTTGGTTTCTCGAGTTAGCAGAGAGAGGGCACTGTACCAGCTGCTGTTCAGCGCTACCCCGGCTGTCTCCCATGCTCACAGATCCATCCTGGTCCTCTTCTGGGAGGGAGCCATGGAGCAGCAACGACTGAGGGCAAAACAGACAATATAAAAGTATAAAGTAAAAGCTTGTAAGCAGTCAAATGTAACTAAACATGGCAGGGACGCATCATTTATTTCTGTATTTGTATTCACAGCAGTTTAGACTTTTAATACTTGGCTGCACAACAAGTTTACT